GCGTCCCAAAGAATCATCAACCATGGGCTTATCTGATTTTCCTCCTTATAACTGCTCTAGGATTATTCAGATCAGCCTTGCTCAACCTGGAGCTCTCCAGATGTTGCGGAAGCACAACTCCCATGATCCTTAGCTAGCAGGACCAGTGGTCAGGGATGATGGGAATTGTAGTCTCAAAACATCTGGAAAGCCTGGCGGGCACCAGGCGCACCCCTACTGCTCTGTGTCCCCATCAGGATGGCCTTGGCTTTTGGACTGGACGATGCTGGCGTGGGGAGGAGCCTCCTCCATGTGGTCTTGGGTTTCTGGAGTTAGTAGAGTGAGGTGGAAGGAGACCATTGGCGGTGTCTCCTGTTCACCAAGAGGGTGTTAGGGAGGAGGCCTAGAAGGACTGCCAAGGAGGCGGCAGATCCAGCCTCTAAGGACCGGACGGCAGCTGGTGATGCATTCCTTGGAGGTCGTATCTCCTACCCCTGCAGATCCTGCCACCCGAAGCGGTCGCCTCACCTTGCCTCATGGGTGGACCGGCCCTTCCTACAGATGTCCAAGTGTATAGGGGTGCTCAAGGAAAGCATGGTGCAGGGAGCTAGCTCCCAGGTAGGTGTGTTTTTAGATGGAATGCCAACGTCCCTTATTCCTTCCTCGCCCAAGAGTCACGACCCAAACTTCTGAATCAAGTTTTCCTCAACCCACCCCCTCCAGTCTTTTTCTTGAGACACATTTGAATAAAACATGCTTGTTTCAGCAAAGACGTTGCTGTGGGTATATTTTGTTGTATTTTTAATGCTACTCTGCATTATCGTAAAGGTAAAGGGACCCCTGACCATTAGGTCCAGTCGTGGCTGACTTTGGGGTTGCGGCACTCATCTCGCTTTATTGGTCGAGGGAGCTGGCGTACAGCTTCCAAGTCATGTGGCCAGCAGGACTGAGCCGCTTCTGGCGAACCAGAGCAGCGCACAGAAACACTGTTTACCTTCCTCCCGGAGCGGTACCTATTTATCTACTTGCACTTTGATGTGCTTTCGAACTGCTAGGTTGGCAGGACTGTGTTATCATAGCATTGTAGAATTGTAGAGTTGGAAGGGACCCCAAGGGTCATCTAGTCCAACCCCCTGCAGTGCAGGAATCTCGGCTAAAGCATCCATGACAGATGGTCCTCCAGCTCTTAGAAAGTTATTCCTGATGTTCAGTCATGCTTTATTTATTTAAATACAGTGGTACCTCTGGATGCGAACGGGATCTGTTCCGGAGCCCTGTTCGCATCCTGAAGCGAACACAACCCGCGTCTGTGCGTGTTGCGATTCGCTGCTTCAGCACACACGCATGACGTCATTTTGAGCATCTGCACATGCACAAGTGGCGAAACCCAGAAGTAACGCATTCCGTTACTTCCGGGTCGCCACGGAGTGCAACCCGAAAATGCTCAACCCGAAGCTACTTCAACCCGAGGTATGACTGTATTGAAATAAATGGAATGTGCTTGGCTTGTGTTTGCTGAACTGCTTGGAAGATTGGAAGGGAAACAGAGAAATCCACCAGTCAATTAGTGGCCTGCTGGGTACCTCATCCGATTACCTGCAAGCTTCGCTCAGAAGTGATGACAACCTGTGGAGGAAGCAGTGGATACTGCATGCTGAATAATGCACTCTCAAATCCCAGCAACATACTGTGCCTTGGTTTCCTCATAATGTCAAACCACAGTTCAGCCTTGCAAGGATGAGCTGCAGGAAATCTTGAACATGCACAATCTTCCTTCCCTCTCTCCTCTACCACTGCAAATTGGAGGTTAACTATGACATCTCAACCCTAAGCTATGGCTGACCTTTAAGTTTACTGAAAACAAAACTAGCTTTTTAAACTCTGGTCTGAAGTTGAGTAATTTCCCCTGACAATAGTTAAGGCTACCCGGTTTTGACAAGGTTTTGATGCCACGTCAAACTGTTGGAAAGGAAGCAAAGGCTTCCAAATTAAGGTTACCAGATGTCCCCGTTTCCCGGATTTACACATCAGTCCCCATACAAAATCCATTGAAGTTGAAAAGTGTCCCCGGATTCATTGAAAAAAAATCTGGTAACCTTATTCCAAATCCCTAATGCTGGCCTCCTGGAAAGAAGGGCGAGGCTCTATACAAATCCGAGGCTCACTGCAGCTTTTCCTGGCAATGTTGAACTATGGTTTAAGATTATGTGCGAACGCTTCCACAGGGAAGCCAGACTATACATGGATCAGGAATATGGGATTGTTAAAACTGTGAAACTCATTCCCACAGGAATTAGTGATGACCACTACAACAAAACAACAACACCACAAACTGGCTTATAAGTATAAAACCAAATTTACTAGAATAATAGCTAGAATGGAGATAGACTTGTAACCATTCAAACAACAAACATACTAAGGTGCCATGTGCAAGACAAAGCCTGGAGATACTGTTAACATGGAGTGGATAAATGTGCAACTCTATCTTAACAAGTTAAAAAGGTAAAGGGACCCCTGACCATTAGGTCCAGTCATGACCAACTCTGGGGTTGCGGCGCTCATCTCGCTTTACTGGCTGAGGGAGCCGGCGTACAGCTTCTGGGTCATGTGGCCAGCATGACTAAGCCGCTTCTGGCAAACCAGAGCAGCACACGGAAATGCTGTTTACCTTCCCGCCGGAGCAGTACCTATTTATCTACTTGCACTTTGACGTGCTTTCGAACTGCTAGGTTGGCAGGAGCAGGGACCGAGCAACGGGAGCTCACCCCGTCGCGGGGATTCGAACCGCCGACTTTTGATTGGCAAGTCCTAGGCTCTGTGGTTTAACCCACAGCACCACCCGCATCCCATCTTAACAAGTGACATATGCAGTAAATGTTATACCTACTGGATAAATGAACCGCTCAACAACTAGCGTAAGTCCAATCACAGAACAGCAACCCCGTGCCGCCACAACGGTGTTGTTGTTGTTTTGTTGTATTATTATTACTGTCACCACATTTGATAGTTAGTGATGACCACTAACCTAGATGGCTTAATGGTTGAGTGTATCGCACGCCTACAGCCACAGGTTCAGAGATGCTGAACAGTCGAAAAGTTTGGTTTATTGAGATAACTAACGGAGGAGCCCCTCGTGCCCTCCTGGCTGTGGAAAGGCTGAGAAATGATTTTGTAGAATATCTCTAACGAATAGAGCCGGGAGAGTACATTGGGACGGGAAAACCAGGCCAAAGTTAATACAAACACACCCTTGCCTCTCGTCTGCCCAGGGCTGCTGGAGCCTTGTACAAATGCAAACATTCCTGTTCCCGGAATTATTTATTTTTGTCTCGGGATGGGGTTGATCTCGGTCGAATGTGCTTCCTCTTCCCTTGTCTCTGGGCGCCTGCCTACCTGTTCCCCTCGGCACCCCCAATAGTTCCTTCTGTTTTCCTTCGCTCCTCTGGAAACTTCACCCTGTTATCCGCTCCACTGCCATTTCAACCCCGTTTTGTCTGTAATATAGTCCTGAAACGATTCCTCTTGCTGCCTTTTTTTTTTTAAAAAATTAATTTATACCCCGCCCTTCCCAGTTCAGAAAACCGGGCTCAGGGTGGCTAACAACAAATATAAAACACTTAATTGTGATACAACAAAAAACAGCATAAAATACAGTATAAAAGCGTGAATAACAATAAATTCAAAGTTCTAAAATCAATTTAGGGGAAAATCCAGCCACTCTGGGCGGCTTCCAACAAAGATTAAAAATACATCAAAATGTCACACATTAAAAACTTCTCTGCCTTCAGATGTCTTCTAAATGTAGTTGTTTATCTCTTTGACATCTGATGGGAGGGCGTTCCACAGGGCGGGCGCCGCCACTGAGAAGGCCCTCTGCCTGGTTCCCTGTAGTTTGCTTTTCACAGCAAGGGAACCGCCAGAAGGCCCTTGGAGCTGGAATTCAGTGTCCGGGCAGAACGATGGGGGTGGAGACGCTCCTTCAGGGATACTGGACCGAGGCCGTTTAGGGCTTTCAAGGTCAGTGACAACACTTTCAATTGTGCTTGGAAAAGTACGGGGAGCCAATGTAGGTCTTTCTGGACCAGTGTTATGTGGTCTCGGTGGCCACTCCCAGTCACCGGTCCAGCTGCCACATTCTGGATTAGTTGTAGTTTCCGGGTCACCTTCAAAGGTAGCCCCACGTAGAGCGCAATGCAGTAGTCCAAGCAGGAGATAACTAGAGCATGCACCAGTCTGCGGGCAGGGAGGGTCTCAGCCTGCATCCCAGATGGAGCTGGTAAACAGCTGCCCTGGACACAGAACTGACCTGTGCCTCCATGGACAGCTGTGAGTCCAGAATGACTCCCAGGCTGTGCACCTGGTCCTTCAGGGGCACAGTTGCCCCATTCAGGACCAGGGAGTCCCCCACACCCACCCGCTCCCTGTCCCCCCAAAACAGTACTTCTGTCTTGTCAGGATTCAACCTCAATCCATTTGCCGCCATCCATCCTCCAACCGCCTCCAGGCACTCGTTCAGGACCTTCACTGCCTTGGCTAGTAGCCATGACAGTCCTCTCCTCAGTGGATTTGCTTAATTGTCTTTTAAAGCCGTCTAGATTGGTGGCCTGCTTCCCATGGGAGCGAGTTCCATAGTGGGATCAATGTTTTTTATTATTATTATTACTATTTATTTAATTTCTATACCACTCTTTGGGCGGTTTGCAATATAAAAACTCAAGCGCTCTGTCCTGCTTCCTGGCTTTCTAACCTCTAACCCTGTTTGGGTTTGGGTGCTATAGTGAATTTTGGAATAAAACTTTTCAGCAAAACAAGTGAGGTGTGAGTCCCAAGTCTCTGAGTGGGAGTCAGGACACCTGACCTCCAGCTCCTAGTCAAATACTCTAACCCAGGGTAAACAAATGTGGTGCTTGCTGACTATGCTAGCTGAGGCTAATGGGAGTTGAGGTCCAAAACCTAGAATCAGAGTTGGAAGGGACCATGAGGGTCATTGAGTACAACCCCTCTGCAATGCAGGAATCTTTTGTCCAAGGTGAGACTCGAACTCACAACCCTGAAATTCATAGTCCCATGTTCTACCAACTGAGCTATATCCCAGGAAGGGACCAGGTTAGCAAGTCCTATTCTAGCCACTCCATGAGCTTTGTGGGGTTGAGAGATGTTGTTTGATGGCCCTTCTATAAATTTCGTGGTTCAGCTTCCTGCAAGGCCTGGCTGCAGCGAAGAAAAATAATCCTGTTTTCTCTTGCTGCGAACATAAACCACGCAGAATGATTTCTTACGCTTCCCTGGAAGTGGACAGCCAGTGGGACGGCTGAACTTAATTCACGTGTGGTGCCAGGAGATGTATGAAACAGCCTTACATGGAGCCCAGAGAGATTCAGCCCAGATGGTTCGGTGCCATCTTTACTCTTAAACAGAAGCTCTCCAGAGACTCTGGCAAAGGCATTATTTATTTATTCGAATTTTGATTTATAGAGCTGCCCATCAATAAATATTCCCCAGGGTGGCTTACCTAAGAGCGTGCTATTAAAAGTACTATATATATAAAATTAAAACTAATAATGAGCAATATATACAGCAACTCCTGCCAAACACCCCACTCTTGGAGCAACAGAGATATAACACATAGCCTTTACAGCTTGGATGAAGCTAGGCTGAGCCACTGCAGCCCCAGGTAAATTGAAAGGAACCAACCTGTGGTCACCTGGAGGAGATCTTGAGATACTTTTGCAGATCTATTTATCCCTGGGGAGAGGAGGAGTGCAGCCACCCATGGATATACCTCATTACTGCAGAAATTTTCCCTTCACCTGTCATTTGTGGTTAGATAATGGAGAAAGCAAAAAAAGGAGGTATTTCAAGGGCATATTTGGAGAGGCCTTGGGTCTGGACACCCTCCAACATCCTCTTGGAATTGGGGTTGGGAAGGGGGGGGCTAATTGTGGTAGCCATAGAGCTGGTCTATAGATTTTTTTCACTGATCAGCATTGCTTTGCTCTGCCTCCATGGTTCAAGGCAGCTGTGCTTCTGAATACAGTGGTACCTCGGGTTACAGACGCTTCAGGTTACACACTCCGCTAACCCAGAAATAGTGCTTCAGGTTAAGAACTTTGCTTCAGGATGAGAACAGAAATCGTGCTCTGGCGGCATAGCGGCAGCAGGAGGCCCCATTAGCTAAAGTGGTGCTTCAGGTTAAGAACAGTTTCAGGTTAAGACCTGACCTCCGGAACGAATTAAGTACTTAACCTGAGGTACCACTGTACCAGTGCTGGTGCTAACCTTTAAAGCCCTAAATAGCCTCGGTCCAGTATACCTGAAGAAGTGTCTTCACCCCCATCGTTCTGCCCGGACGCTGAGATCCAGCGTCGAGCGCCTTCTGGCGGTTCCCTCATTGCGAGAAGTGAGGTTACAGGGAACCAGGCAAAGGGCCTTCTTGGTAGTGGCGCCCGCCCTGTGGAACGCCCTCCCATCAGATGTGAAGGAAATAAGCAGCTATCTTCTCTTTAAAAGATATCTGAAGGCAGTTTTTAATATTTAATGCTGTATTGTTTTTAACACGTGATTGGAAGCCGCCCAGAGTGGCTGGGGAAACTCAGCCGGATGGGCAGGGTATAAATAAATTATCATTATCATCATCATCATCATCATCATCATCATCATCATTACCAGTTGCTGGAAACCACAGGAGGGGAGAGCGGCGCTCTTGGCAGTCTTAGAAACTTAGATACCAGTATATAAACTAGGCGCCAAATGGCTCCTTCAACCAGGGTTACGGTTGCCGAAACTGAACGCCTCGTTGCCATTTTGGGGCCAGGCGGCTCTTTTCAATAACAACTTCTTGGTTCTTGAAATTCATTCCGATCGTGCAGGTAAAATACCACGGATAGAATTCTACAGGATGTGTTGCTAGTGTGTGAAAGCAGTCCAGATCCAAGGATCTCTAAGCATGCATCGCCAGGTGGTGGAGATGTCAGGCGCCAATCCTGGCGCTCTGGCACCTTCACTCGGTTGCAAGTGTTCGATAGCCAGCTGCAAAATTACCTGGCCAATTTCGAACCCTGGCTTGGTCCAGAATCCAGCTTTCAGGTTTCCCATAATAGGTACCTGGTTGGGCATTGTGTGAACAAGATGCTGGACTAGATGGGCCCCTTTTGGCCTGATCCAGGCGGCTTGGTGCTATGTACTGAGTTGAATAGGATCCAAAATGCAGCAGTCTGATTGGTCCTAGAACAATAGGATTCAGAATGCAGCAGTCTGATTGGTCCACAGGAGCCACCCAATCCAGCTCCAGTTGGAAGTGAATCTGCAACCTGATTGGCCTACAGGAGAATCCCGGAATTAGCCAATCACGTGGGGCCCATTGTGTAAATAATGTATATAAAGCAGACATTCTGGGGGAACCTCCATTCCTCCTCACCACTATGAGCCGAATAAAGAGCATGAAATCCACTCTCGACTCCGAGTATATTTCACTTTCCTTATATTGTTTTGCATGCAGCCTAAGTCTGAAACTGTGGGACCCACGGGTGTTAGTGTGTAGGCAATGCTAAGATAGATTGACCAGTGGTATTGCAGTGGCAATGAAGAAGTTTAGGGTGCCCAGCTGAGCAAATAACACCAGGCATATGGAATGACATCTCTTCCTCTCCTCCCCCTCCGTGTGTGTGTGTTTGTCTGTCTGTCTGTGCATAATTTGATGAACTTTTGTATTTCATTGCCAAGTCATTCAGCCATCAAGGATCCCTGTTCTTGAGCCACTGAGAATTCTCCCTCCTCGCCATGGTTGTGGTTTGGGAAAACGGGAAAGAGAGTGGGATGCAAATGATTCTTTGGCCCTTTGGCGTTCAGTCTCTGGGCTGCCCTGCCCTGTAGTTAAAGGATATATTTTTGTGTGTGTGTGTTTATCACACACAGCTTACTGGCGATGAGTGACGGTCGTGGATTGCCAGTCACCGTAAGGAGAAACAAGTGGCTACCTCTCCTTCGATCTCTCTCTCCTTATTTTACTCTGTCCTCAAACAGCACTCGGGTATTCTGCGATCCCAGTGCCTTGATCCTTGTAGCACAGGGGTCAGCAAACTTTTTCAGCAGGGGGCCGGTCCACTGTCCCTCAGACCTTGTAGGGGGCTGGACTGTATTTTGGGGGAGAAATGAACGGATTCCTATGCCCCACAAATAACCCAGAGGTGCATATTAAACAAAAGCACACATTTTACTCATGTAAAAACACCAGGCAGGCCCCGCAAATAATCCAGAGATGCATTTTAAATAAAAGGAGACATTCTACTCATGTAAAAACACACTGATTACCGGACCGTCCGCGGGCCGGATTCAGAAGGCGATTGGGCTGGATCTGGCCCCCGGGCCTTAGTTTGCCTACCCATGTTGTAGCGCTTTTAAAAAACGCCTTCCTGGCAATTTCTTTTGATGCAAGGGGGTGTCTTTGCCTAACAGGCAGAAATCTGTGCCCTAAACTTCTAATTTTGGCATTGCTTTCACTTTTATATGTGGGCGGGTAGCATGGTGTTTTCGCAGCGTGCTAATATATCCAGCCCAAAGTTGTTGCTTTAAATGTATTTTATGATGGATCCTGACTTGTTTGTTCAGCTAACTGTGTTGCTTCTTAGGGCTGACCGAAGGGAACCTGTGGCTCTCCAATTGAACAGGATCCCACCATCTCTGGCTTTTGAGGCTGCTGGGAGTCCAATAACATCTTGAGTAGTCACTGGTCCTAGACCCGCTTCTATATGGCTAGCCATGGTCTTATGCTGTTGTCCTACTAATTATAGAGTTACAGTAATTTACTCCCCGAGAGGTTTAGCCAAGAGTATTTTTATATGCTGACCGGCCCAATAAGCAAGATCTCTTATTAGTTTTATGGGATTCCCTTTTTATTGATGTTCCGTCGTGGAGCACACCAAGTAAAATCCAATTTTACGTCTTGGCTCCTTCCCGATGATAAACATTTTCACTTGCATGGGCCTTAAATGATCCCACTGGCATTTCTTTTTACGATGCCGTAAAACAGATTGAGAGTTCTCCATCGCTCCAGATTACGAGAAGGCTGTTTGAGGGTCCTCTCTCGTAAGAAAAACCAAATGTAAGAATTTGGAAACAAAGGAAAAAGACGGATCAAAGAAAGATGGCCTTGGATCTGAACTTCACGGGCTGTCCAATGAAAGATACATACTTCATACCTCATTCCAATAGAATCAACTTCAGTTTGAATGGTGATGATATTGTTCTATTGATAATGGGGATAATGAAAACTCTATGGTAGAGAACCATTCCTCAGCCTGGTGCTAGCACTCCTAGATACTTTTTTACAGCACTCTTCTCTCCTTTATTTTCCAGCAACTGGCAATCAGGGTCATATCCTGCCTCTAACAGTGGAGGCAAACTACAGTGGTACCAGAGGAGGGCAACCAAAATGGTCAAAGGCCTGAAAACGATGCCTTATGAGGAACGGCTAAGGGAGCTGGGCATGTTTAGCCTGGAGAAGAGGAGGTTAAGGGGTGATATGATAGCCATGTTCAAATCTATAAAAGGATGTCATATAGAGGAGGGAGAAAGGTTGTTTTCTGCTGCTCCAGAGAAGCGGACACGGAGCAATGGATCCAAACTACAAGAAGAAGATTCCACCTAAACATTAGGAAGAACTTCCTGACAGTAAGAGCTGTTCGACAGTGGAATTTGCTGCCAAGGAGTGTGGTGGAGTCTCCTTCTTTGGAGGTCTTTAAGCAGAGGCTTGACAACCATATGTCAGGAGTGCTCTGATGGTGTTTCCTGCTTGGCAGGGGGTTGGACTCGATGGCCCTTGTGGTCTCTTCCAACTCTATGATTCTATGATTCTTGGTTTAAGAACAGCTTAGTTTATGAACAACTTGGATTAAGAATGCTGCAAACCTGGAAGTAGGTGTTTTGGTTTGTGAACATTGCCTTGGAAGCAGAACATGTTTCGCTTCCTGTTGAGTGTCTTCCATTTGTAAGTTGAGTCCCCCGCTGCTATGGAAAGCATTAAGAATGCTTTGGTTTAAGAACGGACTTCCAGAACGGATTAAGTTCGTAAACCAAGGTACCACTGTATAGCCATCATAAAGGTA